ATTGACCCAGAATTTATACAGGTCGTTAAGTCTGACATCACTAGCCATGTCTGGGCCTAAACTCCGCTGCAGGTCCATATATCAAACGATCACTATGGCATTACTGAGAGTTGAAAAACTGTCTAAAGCCTTTCATCTTTAATAAAATGATCAGCGTTCTGCTCTACCAGGTGTAACAATTGAGTTTAACATCCAGGCATCCATGAAAACGGAATTTATGACATTTAACGGAGTTAGAAGTTAGCAGGGAGTTAGCTTGCTAGCTTCTATCTAAATACAATATAGCATGTCCTGACTGCGGGGTTTTGGAAACAAATTAAAACGTACAACTCTGTTATCACTTCCAACATAAATGAAGACAGAAAACTAAACAGCAGTGACATTTGTAGGGTTACTGAAGTTTGGCTAGCTGGTATATAATGATGTGCTACGTGACCGCTAGCGACACAGCTATGTTAGCATAATATAAACAAGCTAACTTTTTTTTCCCACTCAATAAAAGTTAACGTGAGTGTTCTCGGTGGTCAGAAACAAATGTAATCGCATGGCAGGATGCTGTAAACGGACCAAACTTCAGTCAGGAGAACAACTGAGATAATCCATCCACAATACGAGGTTAGTCATTCATATACTGCTGCATGGGCTGGGCTGTAGTTACATCCTAAGGTTTTAAAAACTGAGCTTAAATAAATGATTAGCAGTAATAAAAGCCGAGGGAGGTCAACAGTGATCACTGACTGTTTTAGGAGCTTTTTGAGATTAAATAGAAGAAAATACAAAACATTAAACATGTTAACAACACAAAAGCCATATTAAACGCAGACTACTTTAGGCCCGGAAGTAGGATTCGTCACGTCATCACTTAACGACCGGATAAAGGGATTCGCGGAAGTGGGGTCAGATGTTACCTTGGTTACACTTATATTCGAACATGGTGTTCGTTATGGCCAAAATGTGGTTTGCACAGAAGTTCAACAACGAAACACTGCTCGGGTTCAGATCCCAGAGGCCATTCCTCCCAATCATACCCCCTCCAGGTCTCACTATCATTGCCCACATGAGCGTTGAAGTCTCCCAGTAGGACAACAGAGTCCCCAGATGGAGCACCCTCCAGCATCCCACCCAGGGACTCCAAGAAGGCTGGGAACTATAAACCGCCACTGATCCCGCAGACAACAGCACAGGCCCTTGCTGGGCACAGGTTGGCCTGACTCCAGGGTGGGGCCCCAGTAACCCTATCCTGGGCAGGGTGAACTGTTCCCTTGGTGTTCTACTTATAGTGTCCTTCTGAATTGCTCTTGTCTGGTCCCTCACCCAGGACAAATTTTCCACGGGAGACACTACCAACGGGCAGAAGCCCCCAGACAACATAGCCCCTGGGATCCCTAGTAAATGGTAAATGGTCTGTATTTTTGTATTGCGCTTTACTTGGTCCTAAGGTCCCCAAAGCGCACAAACGCAGAGGTGGGACCAAGTCATTGTTTTGCAAGTCTCAAGTAAGTCTCAAGTCTTTATCCTCAAGTCTCAAGTCAAGTCTCAAGTAATGTCAGGCAAGTCAGAGTCGAGTCTCAAGTCACTGGTGTAAAAGTCCGAGTCAAGTCACAAGTCTGAAATTTTGAATTTCAAGTCCTTTCGAGTCTTTAAAAAAAAAAAAAGAAAAAAGTATGTTGCAGTTATGCTAAATGTAAATATTAGACCATGTAATTTTTAAATCTGTGTTTTTCTCAACACATGACAAAATAGTGAACTTAGAAAATATACACAAATTGTGAAATTGCACCTCTTTAAAATGCAGCTCAATTAAACCTAGCTCCAAGAATAATTTTCACCGACAGTTCTGAGATAAGCTGCATGTTATTCTTGGATGCGGTTGTAGGACCGGTGTTGTGCCAAAAAGTGATTGTCTGCCAAAAACTGATTTCCGGTATTTGCCAAAAAGCGATTGCTCATATTTAAAGTGCTATAAGTAACTTGTTGGGCTATAATATGTTAAACATATGTCAAATGCATCCCTTATGGATGACATAAAGTCATCTTGAGCCACAAACAACATTCGTGTAGCAAGATACAAGCCGCAATCAGTTTTTGGCAGCGACTTTTATATAACCTTTATTTATGCAGTAAAAATAATCTCATTAACATTAAAAATGTCTTTTGTAAGAGTAAGTTGCCCAACAGGACAGCAGAAATGGCAGCAAATATTACAATAGTTCTGTAAAAATATTTTAAGTGGGGATAAAGGACCGGATTGGTTATAATGTAAGTACAAGTTGTAAAGATACTTAAAAAACAGATAATTTTTTAATTCTTTATGTAACCCCTTTGTATCCCCTGTTCACCGAAGTCTATTTACGAACATACGTAAAGATATTACACATAAAAAATACACAGAAACACTGGAAATCAGTTTTTGGCAGACAATCACTTTTTGGCACAACACCGGCTTTAAAATCGCATGACAAAAATATCATATACATTAAAAAAAACTGCATCACCAACGTAGCCTGGACAACATTTGCTAGTTAGATGAAGTCAGCTATCTCATCGTAGCATATTTATATGCATATTTATAATTATACGGTTCTTGTGAGTGCATACACTCGTGAAGTTTAGTAACTTCCGGTCACTGCAACAAGCCCAGGTACAGTTTACCGACGGATGGGTACAGGACCTTGAAATGCACCGTGTAGAAAGTAAAGACCATCGTACCTATCATAAGTTTACCACTCTCACAAATAGTCTTCATAAATACACATTCGTTATCCGTTTATTAATATAACCTTTGAGCTTAACGGTAATTAATTAGTAGTGGAAATAATTTCTGGTACGCCTTACAGAAATGTAGCAGTGACAATAATATTGTATGCTGTAATCGCACTGGACAATTAGTGATACAAAACAACTGTTTTATCCTGTGAATAAAAGTATGTTTTTGTTAATGTGCCATAATAACAGAAGCGAAACGCAATATTGTGTCAGGACAATTCACTATTTATGCACAATAAATAAAGGAGCATAACGCGACAATTTCTGTTCAGTGCCAGACTTGCTTGTAACCTATATCACCAATTATGTTATGAAAATGAGGCATTAACTACAACACACTGACCTTTGTGTAAATGCTTGGAGCAGACTAACCTGTGAGCTGGAGGGTTCTGGGACGTTATATTTGGTCTTTGAATGGCTGCAATCCAGTCGCGTCTTTGTTACTTCGGAAACATGGCTCGAACAATTTCTCTTCAACGACGTAATCCGATAACAACCGATCTCTTTACCCGTCGCTTCCGTGGCTGTCATGCGACCGCTATTGCAGTTAATAATACAACAGCTTCTTGACATTTTTGTGTTTCTTTTTATCGCTGTGTGACTGATTTCAATTGAAAGCCTGCGTGCGCTAGTACTGCTTGCCACGAGTTCCCAGAATCCTTTGCGGTTCTACCCGTGAATGACGTCACATTTTCAATCTCTATATAATATGCATGTTAAATTTTATATTTGGGGTAAAATATCAAGTCTTTTCAAGTAAACCAGTTCAAGTCCAATTCAAGTCCCAAGTCATTGGTGTAAAAGTCCAAGTCAAGTCACAAGTCTTAGAACATTTTTTCAAGTCAAGTCTAAAGTCATAAAATTAATGACTCGAGTCTGACTCGAGTCCAAGTCATGTGACTCGAGTCCACACCTCTGCACAAACGCCTCCACCACGATAAGGTAGCAATTTGCAGAGGGGAGAAACAGGAACAAATGGGTTTTTTTTGTTTGTTTTATTTGTGACAGGGTATGTGTAAGAAAGTACTTAAATATAGAATTTAAATTTGTTGTTTTGCTAAGTTATCTGTTATGTGTAGACACAACACTGATTCGTTCCTTGAGTTTGGTGTCTTTTCTATGGTTGAATGATTCATAGGTCAGTGTTGATTGACTTAACAAACAAAAGCAAACATTTCTCTGAAAATTGTAAGCTACAAGGACTAGACTGAAAGAGCTCTTTAAAAAAATAAAGTCTGGCTCCTTGGAAGCAAAATATAAAGAAATCAGGAGTGACTCAAAGAGATTACACAGTACTGTAAAACTCTTATCTGTTAATCCCTTAATAACATTTTCTTGATTAAAGTCTAACTCATAAATTTAAGAGGTTTGGATGCTGTCAGCTCGGTGCACATTCCATCTGGAAAGTTTGTTTGTGAAAGTATTTTCATGAATTTGGTTTAGTCATTAGTTGTGGGTCAAAGGCAACAGGCTATAAACTCAGCTAAACTTTAATGGAGCTCTGGGGTTTTCAACATGTGTCTTATTACTTCTGACTATTCAACATGTAATCACATAACAGTCCTTATCATGTTTTTTAATCTAGTGATGATTTTAAATGATGCAGGCCGGCATTCTAGCAAATAAATATTGTGTTTAAAATATTTTACAACAAGATCAAACAAAAAATAAACCCTTAAAAATCAGGATCCGAAACAAGTACAGAAACAGTATCATATTGCCCACTAGAAGCAACTTATTAAGTCTGTATATGTATACTTGCTATACATACTTTAATAAAAATGATTCTTGATAAGAAACTTTGCATCCTTTATGTTTTGGTTCTTATGTCAGAGTCTGTGACAAAGTCAAAAGGAAGATTAAGAAATTTTAGCATTAATAACACACAATGGAGTACACACCACCGATACATATAAATGTTTTGTGAATCGGTATACTTCCATTAGGTGTGAAAAAAGCATTTGTAGTTCCAGCGAAACTACTGACATTGACCCTTTCAAGCACCACGCTTGAAATAAATGAAAAGCCTTGTCACATTAACATCTGACCTTTGTCTTAGTGGAGAGATAACCAACAGTTACTAATGAGCTTTTGTATCTTGCTCAAGAAAACTGATAAGGAAATGTAAAATGAAGCTTCCAGTAGTTGGAGGACTTCCCCAAACTGGTTTCCAGCCTCTCAGTCTTGGTCAATTATTACCCTCTCTAATATATCACAGCCAAATAACTGCAGGGTCACAGTAGGAACCAGCAGGAGAGAAGAAAACAATGTACGACCGAAGGATGCTGACGAAGCTGAGCGAAGCACTGTGGAACTATCACAGCCTTCTCCTGATCATCCTCACGCCGCTGCTGCTGCTCCCTCTTCCTCTGGTCATCGGAACAAAGGTGCGTGCACAAATATGACGGGAACTGTATCCCCTCCATAACGGTTTAATTTAACTGAAATTGCACTGATCAGTGTTTTTAAGCAGCTCCTATCATTATTTGCATATTGTGAAATATGTTGCCACTGCTAGTTTTAATTGTATAGCACATAAACTTTATGATATGATCTCAGTAGGTTGTAGCTATTGTAGAGTTTTTGTGATGATCTGAACAGTCTCTGTGCTTTATTAAGTTTACGTTGGCTCTTTATTTGCTTTCCTATCAGCCAGTCATGGATTTGTACTTACGGTATACACTTTTTTCAACTCTAAGCACTACGAGATCTTTTACACTTTTTCCCGTCACTATAAATACGGCTAACAGACCCTTGTACTTAGTGCCATCTGACCCTTGATCCTTTTCAAAAACTTTCTGCATATAAAACTTTATATACTCATAAAATGAAAACACATAAAATGAAACCTCATGGTTAGTTTTTACAATTTCAGTTAACAAATGACTTGTCTGGGATTGCAAATAAAGCTCAATATCCGATTACAGAAAGTTTGACCTACATTGAAAATAGGTCAAAGGAAAGCCTTTGCAGTGCAAAAACAAAGCTTGCCAGTGGGATTTTGTTTTTCAGGCTATAATAAGATTTGATATATTTAGTTGGATTTAGTTAGTGGTCTCGAGACCACTTTTACGTGGTCTTGGTCTCGAATCCCTCAGTCTTGTCTTGGTCTCGCTGTCTCGGTCTTGCTGTCTCAGATCGACATAGTGGTCAGGAGATTTGGAGTCAACAGTATCCATGACACACAACGTAACATTCGATAATGTGTCATGCGCAAAAGCATCAGCTCTAAGAGCCGTGCTTAGAGAGTGCTTTGTGGTGAATCAGAAGAGTCGACTCCCATTGAGCGAGAGCCGCTCCTCAATGTCCTTTCGCTGCTCAGCTCTCACACAGTGGCTCAGCTATGCTCCAATCCCTCCATACTGTGGCCAATCATGTGCGAGGATATAGGATAATATCATTATGTGAAAAACAGAGAGGGTGAGAGACGTGACAGTCAAGTGGAGCGTGCGTCTGTCCTCTCAGTAAGTGAGTGAGACAGTAGACAGCGGTGAGGAGGAGTGCATCGCAAAAACACATAAATATGCCTGAGACCCGTAAACAAAGCAGCATCTGGCTGCAGTTTAAAGACTTTTTTGTCTCGGTCTCGTCTCGACTTTGTCTTAGTCTTCGTCTTGTATTGGTCTCGATACCCTCTGGTCTTGGTATTGTCTTGGTTTAGGCGGTCTTGACTACAAGTCTAATATTTAGTACAGATCAGAACAAGATTGTTTCAGGAGAACCTAGAATTCCATGAAAGTCCATGAAGCAGCAAATCAAGTGCACAGCATAAACTGACACAGAGCACATGAGAGAATAGCTGAGACAAAGCACAAGGGGGAGACGGCACTATTTTTTTTTAAATGGGGAGCATTCAGGTCGACACATCAGTGAGGAAAAGAGACATGTCTGCATGAGATCGATGCAATTATGGGTGAGGAAGTAACAATAAATATTAGACACAAACAACCACTAAAAACCAAACAAGGAAACTCCAACAGAAACGTAAACTCTGCATAAGGAAAGGACTCAAAGGAAAAGAATGTGAAGTGAAGGGAACTAATAACTTCCGATATGCAAAGTAACTGCAAGAATTCAAGACTGACAAAATCAACAGACAAGCTCATAATAATAAAAACGGGAAACATTATTGCACTATCAAGCAGAACTTGATAGTGTGACACCCAAAATGCTGGGCCCTGATTGTGAAGCCTGGTGGTGGAAATGTTCATGCAGATCCACAACTGGATGGTTCAAAAAAAGAAAAGAAAAAAGTAAAGATAATAGAAAGATAACTGCTGGAATGAAGGTTAAATTAGACAATGCTTCAGTCCAAATAACTAGCTAAAGGTGTTTGAAGGTAGCTGCTGAGTGACGAGAGAGACTCTGGCTTAGTGGACAAGCTGCTGCGTCTAATCTTTGCATTACATTTATATAAAAATGACCTTTAGCTATAATTACAGTCATCGATGTGTTTGTGTGTGTGTAATCGTGTTTTCCCTGTAGGAGGCAGAATGTGGCTTTGTGTTGCTGCTGATGGCAATATACTGGATAACAGAGGTCATTCCACTGTCCATGACCGCCATGCTCCCCGCCATCCTCTTCCCCCTGTGTGGTATCATGTCGTCCTCCAATGTGAGTCAATCAGAGTTACAGAGGACAAAATGTTCTTCGTCTTAAGGATTGTTATTCTTTATGAATGCACAGCAGCAGATGTGCTACTTGTGTCCCTGCATGTGGAAAAAGAAGCACTGACTTCAACATGAAATTTTTCTTTTTTTTCTTGACAAATAATAAAGAGCCCTGTTTTCCTAATTTCTTGCTCTGTATGATTTACAGCTCAGAACAATTGTTGGTACTGATCCAATTATTTAATATTTTCCAGTGCATCTGTGTGTTTTTTAAAGCTGTATTTTTAATTGGTTTATCTGTTACTTGTTAACTCCCTGTATAACATTTTCTTTGGCCAAAAACTCAAATTTGAAAATGGGCTTAAATTTTAACTCCTCTTCCTCAATTACCCTGTAGATGCACTCTCTGTTCTAAAATCACCTTTCTCCTCTAGGTGGCAAAGGAGTATTTTAATAACTTCCACTTCCTGCTTGTGGGTGTTATCTGCCTCGCCACGTCCATCGAGAAGTGGGGCCTCCACCGCAGAGTCGCCCTGAGGCTCGTCACCTTGGTGGGGGTCAACCCTGCTTGGTGAGCATCTTCGTTCTCTGCTGTTGGATTCAAATTTTGTATTTCTTCGAGATTTAAGTGTGAAGGCTCCATTGTTGCTTTTTGAACACACCACTGTCTCCTTCAGGTTGTTGCTTGGCTTCATGTCCGGCTGTGCCTTCCTCTCAATGTGGGTCCAAAACACATCAGCTGTTACCATGGTGATGCCCATCGTAGATGCTGTTCTCAAACAGATTCTAAAGGCGAATGAAGAGGGATACTCTGGTGAAGACAACCCTACCCTGGAGCTGGACGGTACCTGCACAAACAGTATACTTTACTTTATAAAAGCACAAAATATAATTAAAAGTGTGAGATAGCTGTGTGTCTTTGAGCTTACAGTAGGATGGAACTTGTGGCCCTGACCATAATCTGTCATTTTTTCAGAAATCAACAACTGTACTGCAAAAAATAAAGAAGCTCTGAGGTATGTAAAGCATGGGGATTCACTGCTGCCCTCTGGGTTCAGGGTGTTCTAAGTTTTTGTTTCTGATGTGCTTGAAGAGCAGTTGAATCCCTTATTCCTCTCTCAGTGACAGCACAGAGCCAGATGTCCCCACAGAAACCTTCACTTCTGTTCAAATACCAGCAGAGTCGCAGCCTGCAGCAGACGAGGTGCAAAAAAGCACCAAATAAACACAGAATAAAATTATTCTTTGATATTTTTCCAGTTCTGCATGTTCTGCTACTTCCACTAAATCTGCTTCTCTCTGCATTTTGTCTTACAGGCTGCAGAAAACGTACCCACGGCCTCCCACAGGGACACAGGATGTCAACAGGGTCGGATGCTATGCAAAGCCATGTGCATCGGCATTGCCTACTCCTCCAACATCGGCGGCATCACCACGCTGCCCGGAACCTCTCCTAACCTCATATTCGCTGAGCACCTCAACCGGTGAGTGTCTTGTAAGTAGAATCTATCAATTCTCATTGGCTGCACTTTGAGAGTCACCATGGCAAGTCAGGACATCAAAGACATTACATTCATGCAAATGAATTGCAAGCTGTGTGGTCAAATGTTTGCTTATGCTGGAGGTACATCCCCTCTCTGTTGTAATGAAGTTTTACTCAGGATCATTATTCCAAAAAAGTAATGTTTTACTCTTATTACACAGAACACAGCTAAAATTAATCCAGTATGTTACTTAATTACTCCACAGAGAAAGTAACTTGTTTTCTCTACTCATTACTTTCAAGTTTCTCTGTAAAATTACTCTGAACATATTGTCTCATAATTACCATTTAACATCAGAAACCTCCAATTACAGCCCTACACACCAACACAAACCCTACCTAATGAAAACACACATACGATCTTTCTTTTAGTCTTCAGGAACATAAAGTCGATAAAAACCAGCACAAAGAGACTTTAAAGTGATTCTACTTTAGAAACATGAACAGGCACAAATGAAGGCTTGCCGTTCATGTTTGGTTAATTCAGTCTGCTGCACAGCTAGAATGAACTAAATGATTGAAAGACTGCTGTAAAAAAAAAAAAACCAATGTTCTCCAAACACTGTCTTTACATTCAGCGTTTACCCAGACTGCAACAGCATCAACTTTGCCAACTGGCTCCTGTTGTGCCTGCCCATCAGTGTTATCATGCTGCTGATGACATGGTTGTGGCTGTATTGGATCTTCATTGGCTCAGAGTGAGTGTCAGCATACCATCTGCAGAGCCAATCACCTGCTATCAGTGCTATTCTATTCTGACTACTCTTTGTGCACACTCCATTATTTTTTCTCTTTTATCAGTTTCATCATCCTATTCTGATTTCTTTGCATTGATTAATTAGTGAAAGTATCATCACATCACATTTATGTCTTTATTGTTGTGAATATTTATTAGAGTTTTGACGATGATGAACCATTTGTTTTCATATTTATGCTTTTGTGCTTTGTTAATAATGCCATCAACAGAGACTACATAAAACAGTGTCATTCAACACGGCTGGTTTGCTCTCGAACTTTAAGTTCTTTAAAAAGGAACTAAAGAACATAAATGCTGTTTGACAGTTTTGTGGGCCTATTTAAAGCAACTTAAATGTGCAAGTTTTTTATTCTGAAGGTTTACTGTTGGCCAGTCCACCGCACACCTACAGGTAGCCATTGAAGCGGCTGGAAGATCAGCTAAGCTGTTAACTGAACTTTTAAAATACAGTGCATATACTGTAGTACCCTTTAAACAGAGCCAAAAACCACCCCCATAAAAACACTCGAAACCATCAATCCATGCATCCATCCATGCATCCACCCATCTTCTTCCAGTAATCCGGGGCGGGGTTGTGGGGGCAGCAACCTAAGCAGAGAAGCCCAGAATTCCCTCTGCCTGGCCACCAGCCCATCCATCACTCGTATCAGCAATCTCGTCCTTTCGGTCACAATCAACAGCTCGTGACCATAGGTGAGGGTAGAGACGTCGATCGACTGGTAAAATGAGAGCTTCGCTTTTAAACTCAGCTCTCTTCACCACGACAGACCGGTACAGCGTCCACATCACTGCAACCGCAGCACCAATCCATCTGTCGATCTTCCGCTTCCTTCTCTTGTCTCTTGTAAACGAGATCCAGAGATGTTTTCAGTCGAAGTCAGTAGCGTTCAATCCGCAATATACACAGTGCAGGTAGGCCACCGCTTTCCCCTCCTGAGTCACCTGACGGTGTGCTAGAATCTCTTTTTAGTCTTTTTCCATGGCCTCTCCAAACTCCTACCACACCTGACTTTTTGCTTCAGCCCCTGCCCAAGCCATGTTCCGCTTGGTCTGTCGGTACATATCAACTGCCTCCAAAGTCCCACAAGCTAAACAAGCCAGATTGGCCTCCTTCTTCAGCTTTGTGGATCCCTTCACCTCTGGTGCCCAACATTTGGTTTGGCAATGGAGGTGCTGAACATGGTCCAGTCAGCCTCAATGTCACCATTCTCCCTCGGAATGCCCTTGAAGCTCTGCCGGAGGTATGCGTAGACGATCTCACAAACCTATGGCCTCTGCCAGGTGTTCCCAGCACAAATTCACTATACGTTTGGGTGCGCCAGGTCTGTCCAGCGTCCTCCCCCGCCACCTGATCCAACTCACCACCCGGTGGTGATCAGTTGACAGCTCAGCCCCTCTCTTTACCCAAGTGTCCAGAACAAATGGCCGCAGGTCTGGTGATACGATTGTAAAATCGATCACTGACTTGCAGACTAGGGTGTCCATGCATGTATGGACACTCTTATGTTCAAACAGGTCTCATTAACGTTGCCCACATGAGCGTTGAAGTCTCCCAGTAGGACAACGGAGTTCCCAGGTGGAGCACCTTCAAGCACCCCACCCAGGGACTCCAAGAAGGCTGGGTAGTCTGAACCGTCAGTCGGCACATAAGAGCAGACAACAGTCAGGACCTGTTCACTCACCCGAAGGCGCAGGGAAGAAACCCGCTCGTCTGCTGGGAGAAACCCCAAAGTACAGGCAGCAAGCCGAGGGGATCCTAGGATACCCACCGCAGCATGCACACCATGGGAGACCCTACCAGGGGAAAAGGTATCGATTTGCAGAGGGGACACTCCAAACTATCCTCCAAAAGTCTGCAATATTTTCCCAAAATGTGTTATTTGCATGTGGACTGTGGACTGGCAGACCGGGGTGGTGGTCCCCATCTTTAAGAAGGGGGACCGGAGGGTGTGTTCCAACTACAGGGGGATCACACTCCTCAGCCTCCCTGGGAAAGTCTATGCCAGGGTGCTGGAAAGGAGAGTTCGTCCGTTAGTCGAACCTCGGATACAGGAGGAACAATGTGGTTTTCGTCCTGGTCGCGGAACACTGGACCAGCTCTTTATCCTCTCCAGGATACTTGAGGGTGCATGGGAGTTTGCCCAACCAGTCTACATGTGTTTTGTGGACTTGGAGAAGGCATTCGACCGTGTCCCTCGGGGTGTCCTGTGGGAGGTGTTGCGGGAATATGGGGTGTCTGGCCCATTGCTACGGGCCATTCGATCCCTATACAACCGACAGGATTTCTAGGCGCAGCTAAGTGGCGGAGGGCTTTCGCTTTGGTGGCCTCAGAATCTCATCTCTGATTTTTGCAGATGATGTGGTTCTGTTGGCCTCATCGGGTGAAGGCCTCCAGCTCGCACTGGAACGGTTCGCAGCCGAGTGTGAAGCAGCGGGAATGAGGATCAGCACCTCCAAATCTGAGGCCATGGTTCTCAGCCGGAAAAGGGTGGAGTGCCACTCCGGGTCGGGGATGAGTTCCTGCCCCAAGTGGAGGAGTTCAAGTATCTCGGGGTCTTGTTCGCGAGTGATGGGAGAAGGGAGCCGGAGATCGACAGACGGATTGGGGCTGCAGTAATGCGGACGCTGCACCGGTCCGTCATGGTGAAGAGGGAGCTGAGTGTAAAAGTGAAGCTCTCAATTTACCGGTCGATCTACGTCCCTACCCTCACCTATGGCCACGAGCTGTGGGTAGTGACCGAAAGAACGAGATCGCGGATACAAGCGGCAGAAATGAGCTTCCTCCGAAGGGTGGCTGGCCTCTCCCTTAGAGATAGGGTGAGAAGTTCGGCCATCCGGGAGGGGCTCAGAGTAGAGCCGCTGCTGCTCCACATCGAAAGGAGCCAGCTGAGGTGGTTCGGGCATCTGACAAGGATGCCCCCTGGGCGCCTCCTGGGTGAGGTGTTCCAGGCATGTCCCACCGGGAGGAGGCCCCGGGGCAGACCCAGGACACGCTGGAGAGATTATATCTCTCGGCTGGCCTGGGAACGCCTTGGTATTCCCCCGGATAAGCTGGAGGAGGTGGCTGGGGAGAGGGAGGTCTGGGCCTCTTTGCTTAGGCTGCTGCCCCCGCGACCCGGCCCCGGATAAAGCGGATGAAGATGGATGGATGGATGGTGTTATTTGCATTTGCAGTCATTGATATTTAAGAAATAAGGCAGTAGTCGGACTTCAGGAAATAACAGAGCAGATGACAGCAGGAAGAACAGAAAAAGGAAGAGCAGGGATGGAGGTGAATTTTAAAGCACTCTGCAGTTCTGTAGCAACTGTGGGTGTGGGGGGGGGGAAGTATCTTTAATAGTTCACTATATTAGATGTGGTCAAAGGTTGAACCATCAGCTGATGTTTGCTGCCAGTGAGATGAGATTGTAATATAATGTAAACATCAGAGGGTCCTAATGTGCAGGTCGTCCTTCTTCAGTAAACATTTGGAGATGGTGGGGAGGAACCTCCAATAAAACCAGGCCCGGCGAGGGGGCTTTTATTGTGACTGGTTAGGAGGGAGTAAGAGAGGAGAAGACAAAAATGGAGAATATGGACAGACAAACTCAAATACAAACTGCAGTACTCAGTGCATTGTGGGATGTTCCCCAGCAGCCTGAGCATAGAGCAACGTCATTTTAGGGTCACCTCTTTCCCAGTATCCGCTTACCTTTGCCAACAAATCATTGCTTGTAAATATATAGATCTGACAGAGCTGATTTTTCCACTACTCAACCAGCCTACTCCACCCAGGTTGATCAACAGCCGCGACGGCCCCATCGTCATGTGCTCACAGGGGGCGTTGCTTGACCTCTAAACCCATCTCAGCTTGCTACTCATCAAAGGTCTCCAACGTCAGGCTCCCATTGCAACCCCATGCCGTTTGCCCCTAACTTCTTTATCACTGCATTTCCATGCTCCGGCTGAAGTACAGTGACTACTTACTGGCCTGCACACTATGTTGCTGCTTGCCTTCTTCGGGTTTCTACGCTGTTCAGAATTGACCTCCTTATCGACAAAATTCCATCCGGATCTTTATCCCTGCTTAAGCAACCGCCGCCCAGTCTCCAAAAACTGCTTCATCTTCTTCTTCAGACAAAGCAAAACCAACCAATTGCGCAGCCGCTTTTTGATATTTTACTTTAAAATAAACTCACCTTTAAGCCCCTTAGAATTGCTGACCCATTACCTCTACCTCAGAAAATCCCAGCATAACTTACATTCAGACCTTCAGCTCATCATCGAATCCAGCCACATCCCACCCAGATCATAGTTTCTTTCACATTTTTGGCAAGTTTTATGGTGTCCAGGATTTCTCCTAATCTCTTCTTTGGCCATTCCTTCCACATTGGTACAGCAACTTATGCCTCCCGCAAAGGAATTACGGACCACTTAATCAAGCTCACGGTCCGATGGTCATCACAAGACTACCAGTTATACATTCGCAACAATCTCCAAGACCTTCACAATGTCCAATCTTCGCTTCTGCTAGGGGATGCCTTCTTTGGGGATCTGCCCCACCCAGGAGCTGCTGCCAGTCCCCTCCGAGGCCTTCCCCAAATCGCAGCATCAGTCCACGGTCTCTCATCCATCATCATTCATCGTAACTGAAGATGTGGTCCCAGCTAGTGAAAGTAAAATTCAGACCCACTAAGTATTTGAATAACTTGGTTATAATTTATATATTTTCATCCATCCATCCGCTTCCGCTTATCCTTTTCAGGGTCGCGGGGGGTCCCAACTGTCATAGGGCGAGAGGTGGGGCACACCCTGGACAGGTCGCCAGTCTGTCGCAGGGCTAACACACAGAGACAGACAACCATTCGCACTCACATTCACTCCCGCATTCATACCTATGGGCAGTTTTTGCCTATCCCCACAAACTGCCCACGCAAACGCCCACACAGAAAGACCCCGGCCTGATGGTGGAATTAAACTCAGGACCTTCTTGCTGTGCGGCAATAGCGCTAACCACGCACCACTGTGCTGACTATATAGTTTCACAACTATGTAAATATATAATTATTTTTTCATTGTCTATCTGTGCTTTTAACCAAACACAGTCAGTCATTAAATTCAGTGTGGGCACTTCCTCTTTCTCTCTCTCTCTCTCTCTCTCTCTCTCTCTCTCTCTCTCTCTCTCTCTCTCTCTTACGCAGCTTCAAGTTCCTGTGGCAGTGTCGGGGAGAGCAGTCTGAGAGAGAGAGGGCGGTGAAAAAGGTGCTGGAAGACGAGTACAAGAAGCTGGGAGCCATTCGGTGATCTCTCATTCGTTCATTTACACACTTGTTTATTCTTCAAAGTAATCAGCTTGATCATTTATTCATTCATGCGTGATCATTACTGCTGTCAGGCATTAATATGCCCATTTATCTATTCATCCATTCACTGACCTCAAATATTAGAAACAGGCAAATGAATGGTCATTCATTTTTGTATTCGGTGTTTTGAATAAAAAACAAACAAACATAAAAATTGAACTATATATGTATCGTCTAAAACACCTATATTAATACACATGGTAAAAATAATCAGAATATAAATGTTTACCCCATTTTTTAACCCCTTATTTGGAATTTTATTGGGACAACCTGCCTAATCCAGAATGACTAAGGGTCTCCAGAAGGTTGCCTGAAGCGTTCTTCTGTAGAAAAACCTTCACAGTTTTTGTTTGCTTTGTTGTGCAGACAGGTCATGATTTCTACAAAGAGACATTGCTTCTGCATTTTTCAGTCTTTTTCTTTTCGTTTTTGGGATTCATTCAGAATAAATGTATTTATTTATTTACTTGTTTTTTGGGTGCACTTTGAACATAACAAGGCAAGGGCCACCTGGTTTTATATTCATGAGAGGGAGACATTTATCTCACAAACTGACCAACTCAGGCCAAATGAGATGGATAAAGACATCTATAGCCTGGAGGTTTGGTGAACTCTCTCTCTGTCAGCACATATATAACTTACAATATAACTCTTTTAAAGAGCTATATTTTCATTCAGGAATTTATTTAATAATACAGAGGGTTTTACATTACCTTAGATTGCCATCATTCATTTACTTGTTGATCAGTTATTGACAGAAAGACATTCCTATGATAATTTATGCATTCACACATTCATTCGTTCCCTCTCTCCAGTTCTCAGGAGATCTTCACCGGGGTGGTTTTTGTGGTCATGGTTTTGTTGTGGTTGACCAGATCTCCAGGTTTTATACCCGGCTGGGCTTCCCTCTTCCCTCAGTGAGTCACAACCTTCTTTTATTTTCTTGGAAATTATTCAAACTTATTCCCAAGTACAAGGTGTGATCTTAAAGCCCTCGATTTTTTTCCCCATTAAAGCAACAACAACAACAAACCCATAGTTTAATTTTGTCCAGTGTCCTTCTACAGCGCTCCTGCTATAGATCGTTCTGTAGAGGTCACAATCTTACTATTTGTTCTGGATCTCTGCCACTGTGTCAACTCAAACTTGATCTTGAAATGGAGATATGGAAACTATAATGCCTGCAGGCAATAATATGCACCCTGAAAGTTTCCGCTGAATGTTCTCTTCAGGTGTTTCTGGAGAGTCGAGCTCCCCTCCAGGAGTCTGATGCTTGAAAATTAGTGCACAACCCCATGAATATCAAGAAAAAAAATCGTGGTTCACATGCACATTCGTGTATCTGAATGTGCTGCAGGCTCTCTCCTAAAACTGCTGTCTGTTCAACAGCCAGAACAGATTTCTCAGGAAGAAATAAACAGTAGTGCTGAAGCATCCAGAGAGGCATGTGGAGACAACCTTGAAGCAAATACTCTTAAATGTAGTATCATTTTGAAAAATTCCACCTCTTCCAAGAGCAACATGAGAAGTCGTACACTGTTAAAAATATGTATTGTTTCCTCTTTGTAATGCAAAGAACCAGAGTTACCAGCTGTTTCACGAAAGAACTTTTCTAATACAGAGAAGTTCATCTGGGAGTCACTTTCAGTAGAAACCAACAGACTTATTGTTGGTTTTGACCTTTCCAGGCAGTTTCTTGATAGAATGACAAATATCAGACCAGATTCTTTGGGAAACACATATATTTATGATTTTTCACAGCAGCAATGAACCATGACCCAGCTGATCACTTTTTCTGTTTTTCAGTAAATCCAACTACATCACAGATGCCACTGTGGCTCTGGTGCTGGGCGTCCTCCTCTTCATCGTACCTGCTCACGGACCCTCCAGAAAATATGGTAAATGTATGGAACGTGGCTTGTTGTTTACTCAGACGTTGAAGGCTAACACAAGTACTCAAAGAGCCCCAGAGCAGGAAATTAGCATAATTGGTTGAGTTTAAGTAGTGTAGATTTACTACTGTAGATAACTTTTGTTTTTCTTAATTCTTCTTAATACAGTTTTCCTACAATACATTATTCTCACTTCTTTGGTTATTGTGTCCTATGTATATCAAGCTTTTACATAAAAAAAATAAACTTTAAGCTGCACAGAAATGTGTGAATACCTAAAATCAGTAAAGTATTAACACTCATTTAAATCTCAGAGGTTCTGAACAGCTTGTCTGTTTTTCAGCATCTGTGCCATCAGTCCCAGTAAATGTTTTTCTCTCTCCATTCAGAGTCAATGATTTCCTGGAAAGAGTTTCAGGCCTCCATGCCGTGGCAAGTTGCCCTGATGGTCAGTGGAGGCTTTGCCCTCGCTAAAGGTGCAGAGGTATGCTGACATACAAATTACACTTCATTCAGAACAGTTTCCTCATACCGAACAAGAAGAAATTTGATGCAAACATTGTAAAGTTTTCACAGCTAACACAGAAAAACCTCAGGTCCAGATAAAAAACAGCTCTCTGGTGCAGATCATTGGGGATTACAACAACTTTAACCGGACTACTCCCCTGATTGTGTCAACATTGTTTTCAGTCAGTGCTCACGATCAGAAAGATTATAGTAAAACTTACTGAAAAGCATGAAATAAAAAAAGGATCAAGATTGTTTAGCTTAAAGTTAAACCATAAGTACACTCAAATAACATAGTTTTGAGTGCACTTCAATTATATCTCTGTCTATCTCTGTCTCTAGAGATAAACAGCGACAGATATAGAGATAGATAAAGATATAGGCCAACCGACTGTGGTTGTAAAAAGACTTCAGGACCTACAGAGGTCAGTGCAAACACCTTCTCTTTGAATTGCCCTCTGTACGCACTTTGCTGCTCAGTTTATGGGCTCAGTCACTCATTTAGACTCAAGCTGAACAAAAAAGTCTTTTTTGTGAATTTTGCCATGGTATGGCTAACTGTGCATTGTCCACTGACAATTTCTCTACAATTGAAATCATTAATTAACGAACAAATGGCTTCACAGTCAGACCAGCCTGTCCTCATTGCATCTGGTCATATGTCCACAAATGTCATGTCAAATCTTCAAAATGGGCCTTCAGAAACCAGTGGTTGATATAATGGCACCTAAAGCTGGTATAAAATCTGCTGTACACTTAACATGTGTGTTTGTTTGTGTGTGCAGGAGTCAGGTCTGTCTTTATGGCTGGCCAGGCTGATGACACCTCTGGGCGACCTCCCGGTCTTAGCCACAGTCACAGTGGCCTGCCTCCTTACCACCACACTGACAGAGGTGGCCAGCAACGCTGCCACCATCACCATCTTCCTCCCCATTCTCTCTCCTCTGGTTAGTTCAGTGTGTTATACTTTACAGATCCGCCAAAATGCTAAGAATTACTGTTCAATTTTGAGCTCAGTATTTTATTCTTGGACTTTACTAGAGTACTTAAAATAATCATTATTTATCTTACACTGGGCTGTGGAGGAATCCCTCCGTTCATGGTCTGCTTGAAACAAACCGTTTAAATCCACTCCCTTTAACCCTACTTTCTTCTGATTAGCTTCTCCCGACAAATACAACACGCAAGGGATGAGCAGCAATTTTATACTCATGTTGAATTAATGAGCTCTTTAGAAATCAGCTGTGCACCACGGGTGCTGGTCTGGGCCTTTCCTGCGCGTTGTTCCCCGTTTCACCGTCAAATCCAGCACTAGAGCCAAATTAGTGAAAAATAACTCTGAAAAAATAAGTAAAACTGTGTGGTTTCAGCTTCCAGATGATTCATTTTCTTCAGAATCTGCTTTTTCATTTGTTGAGCCTAAATGCTATTTGATGCCTGTAAATTCTTTAACTTCCATAACATCAACTTAGCGTGAGGTCGGCCTCCAGTTCAAGCATTAATTTAAGTGCTCGAGTGCTAAGACTATGCAGAGACACGTCTTCAAGATTCCTCTCATGTCTCCTCAGTCCTGACCTCATCAGTGTTTTCAGTCTGATAAATTCAGCTTTTTTGAGGGAAACTGCTGTGACATCTGAGTTGTTCTGCTGTTTCAGTGTTTTGCTTTAGCTGCAGTTTGTACTGTTTATGAGCTTTAAGATTTTGTTTCAACATAAAACAGAGCATATGGAACTTACAACAAAAGAGACGACCACATCAAGGCTAACAACTCTTTTTACAGTTCTGTCTCAAGTCCTTCGGACCCCCCATAAGTAGGGAGGGGTTTCTCCAGGAAGTGTGCAGAACTTACTCATTTAGCTTTTCTAAGGGACATTTAGTTCTCTGATCTCTGGGTTGGCTGAGAGATTCAACCCTCATCGTTGACCTCCAAAAGAAGATGGTGCCTCTGTCTGCTGGCCTTGAGCACGTTCCTCTGGTCAATTCAAACCACTCATTTGTATACTTGTGTTTTTTTGGTGGAGCACAATTCTTGAAATAAGAGTAGTCTGGATGTTCACAGGTGGTCCATCACAGAGTTTCACACCCGGGCAGTAAATCAAAGATATTACATTTGTGCAAAGTAATTGCATGTTGGCGCATGTTGGAGATATTTCCCCTCTTTGTTGTGATCAGTGTTGGGGTCATTACTAAAAAAAAATGCACATATTAGAACACTTTTCGTAAAAGTAATGTAGTACATTAATTAATTACTAACAGGAGGAAGTAATTCATTACACGTTACTTTCTCGTTACTCCGTAAAAATGACCTGAAACACATCGTTTTTCATTAATTTCTTTTTTTTTTTAAATGCATTGTTCCTCTTGTGTTTTACTTTTCGCAATTACCATTTAACCATATAAACCTATATGCTACAGACACACGTAATATTTCCCTGAATTGCCACAATGACTCTGGTTTAAAAAAATACAAAAAGAACAGGTCCAAACGGAGGCAGTTTGTGAACATAGCATCCTGACCAAGTTAGAGGGGGGGATGTCAAGTTGGCAATGTCTATCTTTTCAACCAGTATCACTGCAAAGCATGCATTAGACACACCCGTCGACCACGTCCATCCCAAGCTTTGCATCTTCAAAGCGTGAAATGGACATGCATGCAAAAGGTACAGTAAGCTGCAGTACCAGCAGAGGGCGATATTTCAAATCAAATCAAATCAAATCAAATCACTTTTATTGTCACATCACATGTGCAGGTACATTGGTACAGCACATGTGAGTGAAATTCTTGTGTGCGAGCTTCACAAGCAACAGAGTTGTGCAAAATACAATAATGTAAACAAGCAAAATACAAGAATGGCTACATCTGAAACTAATAAATATATGTACAATATATAATAGTATATGCATTTCTGGATGTGTATGCTAAATATTTTTCTACGTGTGTGTGTGTGTGTGTGTGTGTGTGTGTGTGTGTGTGTGTGTGTGTGTGTGTGTGTGTACACATATTTTACAAATTAAATAGAGTAAACAATAAATAAAATAAATAAAATATACAGAGTTGAGACATGTGCAAAACAGTGGCGTTACTGTACAGTGTGGAGTGCATAATGTTAAAGTTCCAGTAGTGAAGCTGAGGTGTCTATGACGTGTTCAGCAGTCTGATGGCCTGGTGGAAGAAGCTGTCTCTCAGTCTGCTGGTACGGGACCGGATGCTGCAGAACCTCCTTCCTGATGGAAGCAGTCTGAACAGTTTATGGCTGGGGTGACTGGAGTCCTTGATGATCCTCCCCGCTTTCCTCAGGCACCGCTTCCTGTAGATGTCTTGGAGGGAGGGAAGCTCACCTCCAATTATCCGTTCAGAGCACCGCACTACTTGCTGGAGAGCTTTGCAGTTGTAGGCGGTGCTGTTGCCATACCAGGTGGTGATGCATCCAGTGAGGATGCTCTCAATGGCACAGTGATAGAAGGTCCTGAGGATGCGGGGGCTCATGCCGAATCTTTTCAGTCTCCTGAGAAAGAAGAGGCGCTGCTGCGCCTTCTTCACTGTTTTGTTTGTGTGTACTGACCACGTAAGATCCTCAGCCAGATGTACTCCAAGGAACCGGAAGCTGCTCACTCTCTCCACAGCAGCGCCGTTGATGGTGATGGGGGTGTGTACTTCTCTGCACCTCCGGAAGTCCACTATCAACTCCTTTGTCTTTGCGACATTGAGGGTGAGATGGTTGTCTTGACACCAGTGGGTCAGGGCGCTGACCTCCTCCCTGTAAGCTGTCTCATCACTGTTGGTGATAAGACCCACCACTGCAGTGTCGTCCGCAAACTTCACAATGATGTTGGAGTTGTTAGTGGCTGTGCAGTCGTAGCTGTAGAGTGAGTACAGGAGAGGGCTCAGTACACACCCCTGTGGAGCACCAGTGTTCAGTGTGATGGGGGATGAGGTGATGCTGCCCAGTCTGACCACTTGGCGTCTGTCAGACAGGAAGCTAAGGATCCAGCTGCAGAGGGAGCTGCTCAGTCCTAGATCCTGCAGTTTCCTGTCCAGCTTCGAGGGAACGATGGTATTGAATGCTGAGCTGTAATCTACAAACAGCATCCTCACATACGTGTCTCTCTTCTCCAGGTGTGACAGGGCAGTGTGTAGTGTCAGGGCTATGGCATCATCAGTGGACCTGTTGTGGCGGTATGCGAACTGTAGAGGGTCCAGTGAGTCGGGTAGTGCAGAGCAGATGAAGTCCCTGACCAGCTTCTCGAAGCATTTGCTTACGATGGGGGTCAGGGCTACAGGTCGCCAGTCGTTCAATGAGGAGATGGTGGAGGATTTGGGTACAGGGACGATGGTGGCCATTTTGAAGCAGGCTGGGACTACAGACAGAGAGAGGGAAAGGTTGAAGATGTGCGTGAACACTCCAGCCAGCTGAGCCACGCATGACTTGAGGACGCGGCCGGGAATCCCGTCCGGACCAGTAGCTTTGCGTGCGTTCACCTTCCTGAAGCACCTTCACTTCAGGCCAACACGAACATAATCACAGGAACGCGTTTAAACAGACGTTACTAACACATTTACATGTAAATACATATTGCCCCCCCCCCTTAATCCTTTGAATGAATGTTAATAAAAGTTTTTATAATAAAAACTAATTATTGTTATTTAATCTCACAAATGTGGGAAATATTTATGAGAGATTGTTCTCGCTTCAGGCCGAGGCCATACACGTCAACCCTTTGTACATCCTGATCCCCGCCACCCTGTGCACATCCTTCTCCTTCCTCCTGCCAGTGTCCAACCCACCAGGTGCTGTGGTGTATGGCTATGGACACTTTACCACCCTAGATATGGTGAGTTCTGTCACAAGAAAATAGAGGTTGCAACTAGAAATAACTCTTTCACTAAATGTATGCTGGCCATAATTCACAAGAAAAATCTGATCCTGTCTGCTGCAGGTTAAGGCGGGACTTGGCGTCAACACGATTGGAGTCCTCGCCGTCCTGCTGGCCATGGCAACTTGGGGAATTCCTTTGTTCTCGCTGGATACGTACCCCGACTGGGCACCGACCTTCAACTCCACGACGCCTTGATGAGCGGACTCCGGGCGTAGTTTTCAGTGGTCAGACTCTGAAAGAGTCCTGAAAGAGACTCAAAAAAGGCTCCCGAGTTCGACGCTTAAGAAATAGATTAATGTGCTTTAACTAACCCAAAGCTGAATGGGTGTATTCATGTTTCTGTAGTGGTGTTACTGCTTCCTCTCCACCAACAGGTAAACATTTAGAAGCCCCTGTTTCGGTGCTGCAGTCGCGGTAAACCTGGTTGCCAACAAAAAACATTTAAAGAAGTCATGTTGTCAGCAAATCTAATGTGCAGACCCAGGCTAATAATCAGTTTATCTTACTACATCTTCTTTTTCTCTATCATAACACTCCACTGTTTTTCAAAAGTCAGGATGAGATATCCTCCTAAAAATCCCCCCAAATACTCCCAAACTGCAGCTTAGCAGAGAAGAGAATGACGTCTTTGCTGCCGTCCTGAGTCATTTTGCATTCAACAATAGACGCCCAGCCCTGAAAACCTTTGGATTTGCACTTCTTCATTGCACCTTTTGAAAGTTATTTACTATACTTTATAGGTAAATTAATATAAAAAAAATTTGCCAACTGAAGTTTGATGTCACGGAATGTTACTGGAATAAACAATCAGAGCAATTTGAGTTTTTCTATTTGTTACCATCATGCTGAGTGCTGCTGCAGGCAGGATGAGGACCTAAACGCAGGACTCGAAACAATAAGGTAAACTGAAGGAAGCAGCTTATTGCACTGTAGCAAAACCTTTACAAACACAGAAAAGAAAACCTGGACGGGGACCTAAAAGAAAACAGGGAGCTAGGAACAAGGGTAAACCAGAAACAAGTGGAAGAACACGGGGAACACAGCTGGGAGAGATCAAACATGACGAGACAGGGAATAAGCAAAACTGAATACCCTAAACGCAGGACAAGGAACTATCAAATTAAACAGGAAACATGAGACGCGGGTTACACACTGGGGGCGCCCAAATTCATGGGCTGCATCCTCCCGAGGCCGCATTTGTAGGCCAATTACGTCACAGCGACGCAACGAAGGCTGTCCAAATTCGTAGACTCCTCCGAATGCGGCCGACAAATGCGTTCTCCTTTTCCCCAGATTCGAAGGACGGGTCAGGTGTATCCTTCGTGGCCCACCATATCCCAGGATTCATAGCGCAGCCCAGCCAATTTCTGTTTCCATCAATGGCGGGAGCTACTTAGTTTTAATATTACTCTTATTATTCTTTCTGGGTCACAAAATAAACTTTTAAGATATTTTTAGGCGAGAATGTAGCTGTGTAAACCTCAAATATCTGCTCGGTTTATCAAGACATCACATATTTGCAAAAGTGCTCCAACGTTTTCAGAGACGTCTGTTACCCACCAGCTCCATAGCGAGCCGGGGTTCAAGGCTCACTAGAGCCGGCAAGAACAGCGAACGATGTACGGGGAGTACATCGTTTTCAAACCCCCGCCGTCTTTCGCTACTCAGGTTAAACATGATATATAAGTCACTTAGATAACTTAAACATTTTATTGTTTGGCTTTTTTCAGTGTTTTATTTGTTCCTGAGTAAATCAGTTTGGCTGAGATTAGAACTGAAGAAACATCAAACGGAAAACTGATTAAACAGAAGTGTGAGATGATCGAGAATTTACGCCAGTGTCCTGTTATATTTTAGATAGTATTGAGATTGGAGAGATATTTTGCTGCTATTGTTAATAACCATCATCATTACCATTGCATTGATAATTAATATTGATATTGCATTCAGATGTTTAAACATATTGGTACCCAATTAGCCTTTAACAAAAAATAATTTCCCCCAGGGATCAATAAAGTATTCTGATTCTGATTCTGATTCTGATTCTGATTACAGGTGCAGTTATAACCACTTTAAACTGTTGAGTTAAATCTATAATCTTAAATGCTTTTGAATGCTTTTCATAATCTTAAATGTTTATATGTAGATTACATTGCATTATAAAAGAAAGGCTTAACTCTGAGTACACTCTGTGCCAAAGTAGACAGGAAGCGCAGGCTTTTGCAGAGCATGTTTTGCATCCAGGAAGTATACTTCTAAAATGTTATTGTTCCCTCTGTAAAGTGTGCATTTTGGTTGTCATTTTGAGGAGCTGTTTGAATGATGCTATTTGAATAACCAGGTTATTCATTATTATCTTTTATACTTTTATATTCTTTGATTAAGCTTTTAGTAGATGTTCTTGATTAAAACATTTATTCAACATATTACAGATATAGTTTCAGTTAGGTTATTATGCACATGAGAATTGGCCATTCTTCTCATAAGACAAAGTTCGTGTGAGGTCGAGACTAGGGATGGGTACCGGTGGCACCGGTTCTGACATAAACGGTAGTAACCAGACCGAAAAGCAGCGCACACTTCGGTGCTTTATTTCGGTGCTTTTTTTTCCTGAGCTGTGATACACTTCTAGCCAATCATTTTACGTTTCCGAGGATAGTAGGCGGGTCCAGGTACGTACGTTCTTTTAGAGCAGAGCTACAGATTAAAAATGCCCAAGGTGAAGCGGTCAAAGTCTGGCTGTACTTCACAGCAAAAGATGCAAACTCAGCAGCAACAAGTGCTTTAAGCTGATACTGTGATACTGTCAAAGGAGGTAACACCTCAAATCCGATGAAACACCTGGCGACGCATAGCGTTTTTTTAAAAGCCGAGAAATGCGCCATATTTGATAGCTTGCTGCGAGACCTCACACCGAGCGCATCTACTGCGGGTGGGTTGCCTGTTATCAGACCCGGAGTTAGCAACATCCCCCAAAAACACGAAGAGGAGAGTCCTGGCCCCTAGCCCTGCCAGTGTAGCAGAAATGATGACGGATGATGAAGCAGCAGCAGCCGTTCTTCTCTGCGTGAGTAGCTTAATGTTGTCCGTGTGTAATTTACGTTGAGTAGGCTAACCACGTTATTACATTAATGCATGTAAGGTGAACTAGCAAACATCATCATAGCTACATGCAGCTGTCTTCTTGTTTGATGGCAGATACTCCCTTCACCCTGGCCAAAAAAGCTAAAATGACCAAAGAAAAAGTGGAAAACAGTTAAACATGAGAGGTTTTTGGACAAAGTTTGTGTTTTTTCCATTGTTTAAGCACTGCTTCCAGCCAAGAGTGATACCATATATGCCCCATAGCTGCAGAAAAGGCTAACATTGTTATCTTTTTACAAAAAACCAGCTGAACATGAGAGGTTTTTGGACCAATTTTGTGTTCTCCATTCTTTAAGCACCGGTTTGAGCACCATTTGAGCACCGGCACCGTTTCAAAAGTACCGATTTGGCACCGGTATCGGATAAAACCTAAACGATACCCATCCCTAGTCGAGACACACACATACACACACACACCTGCACACACTGTAGGTAGGCTTATGTTCTAGGTGAGAGTTCAGATATATTTTCTTGCAACTGCATTTTTGTGCGTGCAGAATTGCTAGTTTGTTGCAGAACATGGCCCGAGATTTTGGAGAAGCGAGAGTCAGAAGATGGACAGGAAGCACCTGCCGTGGAGACGGAGACAATGTTATTTTCAAACTGTGTTAAAAGTCACTGTGGTTTTGATTTGACGTATGCATGTATTGTATCTGATGATGCATGAGGGGGCGTTAACCCTGATGAATCAAAAGCAATCTGAAGTGTCTTTTTGGGCGGACATCTACAGCTGATGTTTTGCAGTGTGCATCTCCCCACGCTGCGCGTGGTCATTAAAATCAATTGTTCGACCAAGCTCTTCTAGACCATGGTTGTTTTTACTCTCCTCCTCAATACTGAACCCTTAACAATAGCAAGGAGCAGACAGCTGAGTTTATTAAAGTCCATCCAGACAGCTGGTGACGCAGGTATGAAGGCTAGACCGTCTAATTTCTCACTTCCAGCCTACCCGGCCTTCGGAGGACCCGGCCCACTTATGTATGTATATGTATATATATATATATATATATATATTATATATATATATATATATATATATATATATATATATATATATATATATATTATGGAATGCCCTTTAGGAAAATATTATATATATATATTCCAACCAAAGTCTGAATATATAGAATGAAACTTGAATATGTAGAATGAAACTTGAATATATACAATGATCTGTTGAATATATAGAATGAAACTTAAATATATATAGAATGAAACTTGAATATATAGAATGAAACTTGAATATATAGAATGATCTTTTGAATATATAGAATGAAACTTGAATATATAGAATGATCTTTTGAATATATAGAATGAAACTTGAATATATAGAATGAAACTTGAATATATAGAATGAAACTTGAATATATAGAATGAAACTTGAATATATAGAATGATCTTCTGAATATATGAAATGAAACTTGAATATATAGAATGAAACTTGAATATATATAGAATGAAACTTGAATATATAGAATGAAACTTGAATATATAGAATGATCTTTTGAATATATGAAATGAAACTTGAATATATAGAATGAAACTTGAATATATATAGAATGAAACTTGAATATATAGAATGAAACTTGAATATATAGAATGATTTTTGAATATATGAAATGAAACTTGAATATATAGAATGAAACTTGAATATATATAGAATGAAACTTGAATATATAGAATGATCTTCTGAATATATGAAATGAAACTTGAATATATAGAATGAAACTTGAATATATATAGAATGAAACTTGAATATATAGAATGAAACTTGAATATATAGAATGATCTTTTGAATATATGAAATGAAACTTGAATATATAGAATGAAACTTGAATATATAGAATGAAACTTGAATATATAGAATGAAACTTGAATATATAGAATGATCTTTTGAATATATGAAATGAAACTTGAATATATAGAATGAAACTTGAATATATATAGAATGAAACTTGAATATATAGAATGAAACTTGAATATATAGAATGATCTTTTGAATATATGAAATGAAACTTGAATATATAGAATGAAACTTGAATATATAGAATGAAACTTGAATATATAGAATGAAACTTGAATATATAGAATGAAACTTGAATATATATAGAATGAAACTTGAATATATAGAATGAAACTTGAATATATATAGAATGAAACTTGAATATATATAGAATGAAACTTGAATATATAGAATGAAACTTGAATATATAGAATGAAACTTGAATATATAGAATGAAACTTGAATATATAGAATGAAACTTGAATATATATAGAATGAAACTTGAATATATATAGAATGAAACTTGAATATATAGAATGAAACTTGAATATATATAGAATGAAACTTGAATATATATTAGAATGAAACTTGAATATATAGAATGAAACTTGAATATATATAGAATGAAACTTGAATATATAGAATGAAACTTGAATATATAGAATGAAACTTGAATATATATAGAATGAAACTTGAATATATATAGAATGAAACTTGAATATATAGAATGAAACTTGAATATATAGAATGAAACTTGAATATATATAGAATGAAACTTGAATATATATAGAATGAAACTTGAATATATAGAATGAAACTTGAATATATAGAATGAAGCTTGAATATATATAGAATGAAACTTGAATATATAGAACGATCTTCTGAATAT